ACGCTCGCCGGAACCGCCGCGGCTGCCGAGACGTGCGCCCGAATGCGCGCGTCGTAAAACACCGAGCGGTGTTTGGTGGGCTGCTAGCCCTTGGGGAGGTGCAATCGGGTGCTGGACTCTTGGGAAACATTTTAGGACTTTAGAAGGGGATTTTTCCACTGATGGAGCTGGCTTCTTGCAGGAGAGGAGCCTTTAATTCAGCAAAATGCCCTAAATCTGTAGCAGGAATACTGGGCAGGCTGCAGCAAAGAAGTGCAGGAGCAGGCACTGGCCCAGGGTAATGGAGGAGATGGAGCTGTGGGTCAGGGCTGTACTGTGCTCCCTGGGACCCAGATAGCATTTGGGGGCTGAGGGCTCAGCTCTGGGTGCTTTCAGAAAGAGGATACATTTTCAGAGTCTGCCTCTGCGCCCTCCGTCTGGTCCAGCTGCAACCGAGGGTGGAGCAGTTTTGCAAAGCATCATTTGTAAAGCACCAATTACGGAGCGAGCCTTTTTGCAATGGCATTTTTAGCCTGGCCGTACCACCTGCTTTCTAAGCAGTGAGGAAAAGTGAAGGGGGAGAGAGGGAAGAAAAACAAAAGGTGATTTTAAACTTGTTATCAGGAGGAACAGGAAGGTGAATGACTTTTACCGAGCAAACTCTATCCCATAGGCAGTCCTGGTTTCTGTACCTCCTCTTTGCTCTATGTGACTGGCAGCCGCTACCACATCTTTTACAGACCTGTAGTCATTTAAATGAAACTCATGGACGACATCTTCTCCGTACTGAACGACTCCGACCTAGGGATTAAAGGAATATCACAAAGGATGGACCTAGGGATTAAAGGAATATCACAAAGGACACCAACAAGACGTAGCAAGGGCTGGTGAAACAATGAGTATACTTTGTGAGCCACACAAAATAACAGCCACCATTAAAAATCAATCACTCTATCACAATTTGCTCCAGTTTTCCCTCTACGGGACTGTTGATAATGCTTAATTTTCTTTCTATTCTCTGCCAGCTGTCACTCATGCGCAGCCGCCCCTGCCCTGCTGTAAAGGGTTGGGGTGATGCAGATGTGCCGTGCCCCAGTGCAGACCCACAGCATCACTAGATAGGACCAAATGGGCATTATTTGTGCACATTGTTGAGGATATCCCTGCCCAAATCCCTGCCCAAATCAATCCACGATTACTAATAGGGAGAGGATGCAGCTCTTCACAGCTGCAACAAGCTACCTCTGCACAGGGCAATACTTCTGTATTTCCATATGATTTCATCCTCCCCATGCCCGGTCAGGGTGTGGGATGCTGAGCTCTCCATAGCTCATTTAGGGCCATTAATGTGAGTTTTATTTCCATGGGCTCGGCTTTAAAATCCATACATTGCAAGTTTATTTTGAAAAAGCATGTCACCAAATTATAGCATATTGGCAGTCGAAAACAGCCCTGTGAGCGTGGCCAGGGGACATGGGGGGATGCACAAGTTGTGTGGGGGCTTACTTGTATCTGGCCAGGGCCAATATAAAATTTTTTCAAGATGTTTATCAGGAAGTGCTGAACTTCAACCCAAGGATATATGCTGTTTGATCCATCCAGAACTATGATTATGTCCATGTACGTCTGGCATCCTGTGAAAAATACACAGTGTGTTATTGAAAGACCTTGGCAACGCTTGCAAAGGGGAGATTTATGGCTTCATTCCTCGCAGTCAGGTACTCGCTCTTATGATTTGTTTGAAAAAAAATCTTATTTCAATCATTCATAAAGACCTTTGGGCTTCAATAAGGTAGAGAGAAGCCACAAGCATCCTCTCTGCCGAGAAAAGACCAGATAACTTTCTAAGAATAACACTCAGCAGTATCTTTTCTGATTCAGATTTGGACCGTTATCCGGTCTAATATAATTGCATACTTCAAAGAGTGGCCTGCTGTAGGCAGGATCCGGCCCCTGTCCCTCCTGCGGAGCAATGCTTTACCCCTGAGTCACTGCTCAGCTCTGCCTGTACTCGCTATATAACGCAAGTCGGGCATTTCCTCTCCTTCCTGTTAAATCCTCAGCGACGAGGGAGCCAAAAACCCCAGCGAGGACCCCAGGGCTCAGCCCAGCAGTATGAGCTGCGAAGGATTTAGCCAGTTGACTGGATTTCAGTGAGGAAAATTGCTCAGCATCATCTCTCTATATTGCCTATATTTTAAAAAGTTGCAGAAAACCAGAATTTGAAGGTTCCCTTTTCACCTGCTGTAGGCATTTATGGGTTAGTGCATCCATGGCCGGGAGTCACACGTGGGTCACTCCATCACTGTGATCCTCAGCTCCCTCCCACCATCTCGATCCCCCGCTCATCCCGGGACCCAGGGAGAAGAGCCAGCCTCCCACATCCCACTCGCTAAATGATAACGCTCTGCTCGTTAACCACCTTCTCTCTAAAAGTACAATTACGCTTTGCGGTGAGGGCTAAAAGCATCTTCTGGCCATAAAGAGGGAAGCAACACTGTGAATTTGGTGGTGGGCTCTGCCTTTACTGCCTCTGCCCACCAAAATTCCCATTTTCCCATGCTCTGCTCTACGCTGTGAGAATTAATTGACACCAAACGGGTGATGGAGTTCGGGTATCACATCCCATGCCCGGCTGGGGCAAGGAGCTTCTGGGAGCTCTGATGGTGCAGGACAGGCTTCTGCAATTTCTTACCACCTACAGGAAAGCCAGGAAGCTTATTTAATACCTCAAAATAAAATCACGTATCCAAATTTACAAATTTGGGCCAAAATATTTAGCTTTCCGTCAATGAGCTCTTTGTTTTGTGTGGCCAAGGTCTGTTTTTCCTATTTTGCCTTCCTAGCTGTGCTGATAAAAAATTCTGGATACTTTTATTTCTGGTTTTGGACGAATAAGGTATTTTTTGTCTTCCCCGGGTGTCAGTCAAAAGAAAAATGTTTACCAGATGTCTGTGTACGTAACCCCCTTTGAATCACTTCCCTGCAACCATTTCCTCTGCTCTCTTGCCTTCGCTTAAACACTGACATCGCTTTGTTTTCTCAATGGGACTGGAGCGATTAGAGAACAGAATTCCCTGACTTCAAAGGCAGGGTTAGAGCCGCAGGACAGATTGTTTCTCGTACTCTGCAGAGCCGGAGCCACCGTCTTGGAGAACCTGAAGTTGGAGTTGACCCGGGAGCACATGCCCGTGGTGTAGTAGGAGCTCCCGCACTCGTGGGACCAGAGAGGGCTGCAGGCCTGGGGGGAAAAAAAATCAAGTATGAAGGATGGGTTTAAAACTGCCACTTTTTAGTTGCTGCTTTGCAAAGCTGTCCTCTCCTTTGGCATCTTTTTCCCCACAGAAGGTGAGGTTTCTGAGCCCTGTGGTGCACACAGCATATATATAAATACCCAGAGAGGCATGTTTGCATGCCTTTACACGCTGATTTACATGCATCTGGTTTTGCATGCTTTTACACACTGATGTACACGCACCCTGCAGTGACCTCCCCGCGCAGGGACGACCCCGTTCCTCACCAGAAAGCTGTTGTCCTTGGGGTTGGTAGCCAGGCTGAGGCCGAGGCGCATGTTGTCCTTCCGCTCGGAGACATTGGAGAGCGTTACCCGTCCTTCGGAAAGAGGATGCAATTAGGGAGAACCGCCGGGCAGGGATGCCAGCCGCCCAGCCCATGTCCCCGTGTTGCTCCCCAGCATCTCTGGAGCAAGAGGAAACCCAGCCGAACGCTGGAGGAGAGCCATCTCGGTGTGCTTACACTGCAGACCTGGTGCTTTTGCTTCTTTTTTGGAAGCAGTTGTCAAGGTAAGGATTGGGTTTTTTTCTCAGATGCCACAACCAACACAGAGAAACGTCTTCTAGGGAATCAGACTGTGAGTCAGAGCCAGCATCTCTTACGCAGCCAGTCTTGAGGAAGAAACCCCTCTGAGCAGCTCTAGCTGCTTGTTGTTGGGCCGGTTTATCTCTGAGCATTGCTTTCGTTTCCCACGTCTCAGCCCAGGACCCAGGAACAGCCCCCAGGGCAGCCCTGTCTTTCGGTTAATGCTAATATCGTTTAGCTGTGACACAAACGCTGCCCAACCCAGCCATTCCTCCACTGCAGGGGCCAAGGCAGCTCCCCGTGACCCAAGGCTCCCCCTTTGCTGTTTTGCCTGAGAAACAAACTGAGAAGGAGGAAATTGGGCAATTAATGGTAAAACTGGGGGTGTGGTTTCGTTGCCTTTGGCCTTTGGAAGTTTCTTACTGAGGTTTAAACCGAGGGGAGGCTCAGAAACCGAGATCCAGAACCCAGAGCTTGAGGGAGCTCAGCCCGACGCTGAGCAGTCTCCAGCAACCCCTCGCTTCATCCCTGCGGAGCAGCCGGCTACAGCCCTGGCTCTCACCTAAGCTCGCTCCGACCCACTCTCTGTACGCACGCTGCAGCAAATCCAGAGAAAAAGGGGCTTCAGCCCACGTTATAGATCCTCCAGGATCCCGACTGCAGATGCTGACACCCCACTGCCCTGCTCTGGTACCCGGGTATGCTGCACCTTGAAACCGCGGCTCTGTGCTGGGGAGCAGGATGCTGCCCGCCAGCTCGTGCACCCACTGCCTGCTTGGCGTGGGAAGAGCAGGGGCAGAGCCCGGGTCCCATGTCAGATCGTGCTTCTCCACGCTATGGTCATCTCTGCTGCACGCTTGCTGTCAGCTTGGCATCCCACCAGGGCAGCTCAGCATCTGGTTTTACTCAAATGGCCTCAGTGGATTGTGCTAATTAGACAAGTTAATTGGGAAAAACAAACAAAATAGGATGTGCTCATGGAACTGACCTTTTCATTCAAGACTCATTTCCAATGGAAAAAAGATTGCTTTTTAGCAAGATTCAAATTTACACACATAGGAGATTTATTTTGTTGAAGAATCTTGATGTTCTCATAGAAATAGAAAAAAAAAAGGAAAAAATGAAAACAATGTTTAAAAACCCAAAAGATTTGGAGCCATCATAGAATCCCAGACTGGTTTGGTTGGAAGGGACCTCCCAGCCCATCCAGTTCCAACCCCCTGCCATGGGCAGGGACACCCTCCACTGGCCCAGGTTGCCCAAAGCCCCATCCAACCTGGCCTTGAACACTGCCAGGGAGCCAGGGGCAGCCACAGCTTCTCTGGGCACCCTGTGCCAGGGCCTCAGCACCCTCACGGGGAAGGATTTCTGACACAGATCTTGTCTCCATCTCCCCTCCTGCAGCTTCAGGCCATCCCCCTTGTCCTGTCACTCCCTGCCCTTGTCACCAGCCCCTCTCCAGCTTTCCTGGAGCCCCTTTGGGTACCAGAAGGGGCTCTAAGGTCTCCCCGGAGCCTTCTCTTCTCCAGGCTGAACAAGCCCAACTCTCTCAGCCTGTCTCCATAGCAGAGGTGCTCCAGCAGAATCCTGCCCTCGACCTGCTGGTCACGCTGCTGGTGATGCAGCCCAGGACACGGGTGGCTTTCTGGGCTGCAAGTGCCCACTGCTGGCTCATGCTGAGCTTCTCATCCCTCAACATCCCCAAATCCTTCTCCTCAGGGCTGCTCTCCATCCATTCTCCACCCAGCCTGTAGTTGTGCTTGGATTGCAATCAATCAAATATTGCAGATGATCCAAAGTTCCTCCTTGCTTATCAGCTCTGGTAGAAACTCAGGATAGTTCAGATTCATAATGATGAAAAATAAAGTGAGAACAGCTGCTCCAGCTGCTCCAGTGTTAAAAAATCCCAGACCTTGCCCCCAAACCCCAGCGATACTTCTCAGGACCATGAGAAAGTCCCTGTTCTCATGTTCCCCACTGAGACAGGGACATGCCCATCCAGTGTCCCACTTTTTGGGCAGCAAAGGGGACTTGTCCTCCCTGTGCCTTGCATGTCCCAATACCACGATACTGTTGGCATGGTTGGTGCTGGACCAGCCCAAGAAACCCTGAGAAAGAGCTCGCTATCTCCATCCAGGGAGATGGGATTGGGATGTCTGCAGGACCGGAGCACCCCCAGGGTTTCTCCTCCTGTGACAACAGTGATGGGACCTGGGGGTGGTGGGGCTGGGTGATAATTCCCCAAATACCAAAGCCATGGGGGCAGGCTGAATGCTGGGAGCAAAACTTGCCTGGTTCCCAGGGAACCTGCTGTGGTGGCCACATCATCCGAGCATCCCCCCGAGGGGGAATACAGACACCGCCATGTGCAGTCATGTATTTGCTAGTGGGACCGTTATCCACTGATAAGTTTATCCTGATCATTTAATATTGCTTTAAGCTATATTAAATAAATAACTTTTCAACTTTATTCTGATTTGCTTGATTTAACCCTAACAATGCTTAAAGCTCAGCACCAGGAGTAAATTGAACACCTGAAATAATTCCTTATCTAAAAATCCTCCTAAAACACGCAATCCTCACGCTTTTGGGGACAATCTGGGTAATGTGACAGGGTGCATCTTTACAGATGAAAACAGTGATAAAAAGCACCATGTTAAAAACACCCGGCTCCCCTCGCTGCCCCGCGGGTGTGCAATACCTAGGTTGAGTTTGGTGCAGTTGCTGTGGGTGTCGCTGGTCACCGGGCACTTGTAGACATCTCCCGTCTTCTGCTGGCCGTTGGTTTCGTAGGGAGCTCCCACCACCAGCCTGCAGGAAAGAGGGATCCGTCAGTGCCCAGAGGCTGGATGGGAGGTGTGGGAACAAACCCACAGGCAATGCCAGAGGGGAACCCCCCCGGGAAAAAGGATTCCCCAGCCCAAGTCCCTGACTCGTGGTTCAGGAGGTGTCAGGAGAAGGTCCCTTGCTGGGGGGGATGCCGTTGTTCCCCTGATCTGACTCGGTACAAACAGCAAAAGCACTATTTCGACTTCCCCTCCCCACAACAGCAGGCAGCAATAAGCCAGGACAATGACTCAGTGCTGCTCGGAAGTAATGCCCATCAGACGCAACGGGGGTGAACAAATGTCTGGCAGCGACTGAGGTCTGCAAAACCATCTGGGAGTGCAGGGAGGAGCGGGGGACCCCCGTCACCACCATGCCAGCACCAGCATCAAAATCCTCAGCATCCGTCTGAGGTCCTGTGGTGGGCACGGCTGTCTCCGGGGAGGGGGAAATGGAGGTGTCCCTTCCCACCGCTGCTTCAGGTAGGAACCTTTTTGTGCCAGGATTGTCTTCAGGACACGGATGTGTAGGAAGGAGTTCTGCCTGGTGATCCCCAAAGGAATAGCAAGGAGCTGGTCTAGCAGTAACAGCAACTCACACTGGGATCTGTGGGGAATTTTCCCCACTAAAAAGGTGAAAAATTTTGCTCCGACGTGGGGTTGGTCCCTTACGAGCAGCCCGGGGCGGTACATTCGGATCCCCAGCTCAGCGGCGGGTAAGGATGCTAGGCATCTATCTGTTCTTGGAATTCAGAGGAGCTGATAAAAACACCCACCAAGGGTGCAGGCCACAAGTTGGGATGTATCTGGGACATTGCAAGCATTTTTCTCACTTTTTCTTGCGGACTTGACCAGAATAGTACAAAACAGCAAACCAAAGGAGGAGAACAGGACCTGAGGAATGTGGCCATTCCTTCCAGGCTAGTTCAAAAATACCCCGAACCACGAGTTATTGGCGTCTTCTGCTCCCAATGTGTTAGCCCCAAAATAAATCTGCTCCTTTGCTTTTTTTGCTTTCAAAATCCTACCGGTGGATGGAACCGTCTGGGTCTGGATGGTCAGATAAACAGGACTTCTTCTGTTCTGTGCCACCCTACCCAGCAGCTGGCAAAGCAACCGTCCCCGGCACAGATGTTGCCTGTTAGACCAGAAATGGTCGTTTTTTAAAAAAATGCTGCTTCTACAAAGACACTAAACACGCATCTTTTATTCTTTTTTATTCTTTTATTCCACCACTATAAAATGGAATTGCTCACCAACTTAAAAGCTCCAAAATCTGAGCAGTGTTTAAGGATTCTCATGGAAATACTTCCTGTCTTACAGCTTCATTGCTAACGAGGAGATTAATTAGGGGAAAATAATAACCATCTGGAACTGCCCTCAATAGGTTCCAGAAGCTCAGGGAAATCTGGCACTTTCTCCCTGACCTGTACAAGGCGTTTGCTCCTGTCCCTCTGCCGCAGTATCGATGCCTGTTTGGTCGTGGTCAGAGAGGGGAGGAAGGTGGAAGAAGGGGGAAAAGAGAAAAAGACCTCAGAGGAGAAAAGAAATAAAGGTTGAGACACCTCAGAAGACGATGTTCTCATTTTTAAGTTCTTTATTGCAATAGAAGAATTTAACACCGACAGGATTTAACATGAACGTCTCAGAGCAGCTCCACCTTGATGCCCCCCCCGCCTTGATTACCTCCCACAGCAGGAAAATCCCAGCTGAGACTTTCCCATTGATTAATATTCCCATATAAATATTATCACACTACCCATTAATAAATATTCCCCAACAGCAGCGGTTATTAGGTTGAGGCATCTCTTCCAAACACGAGACGATGACGAGGGCACACCACCCACTCCCCCCATTCCCCAGCCCTACGTCAGGGCTGGAAGCTCCAAGCAAGCCCAAATATTTGCAGACGCTGCCATGAATGCAAAGAGGTCGTGAAGCTCATGAAAACAGAATTTTTGTCTCCCAAAGACAATGGCATTGTTTTCCCTTTTCGGTTAAATTTAAATGATTAATTAGCTGAAGCTGTCAAATTCTTATGGAAACTTGGCAGCTGGGGGGAAAAGGCTTTTCCAGCTGTTTGAAAGGTGCTGGTTGGAGGGATGCTGCAAGCGTTCCCCAGCGTCGGCTGTCAGAGACGCTGCTCTACTCACCACCTCGCAGGTTGCTTACAAACCTCTTCCTTTACTTTGTGGTTTGTAAACCTGCGCTTTAAATGTTTTTTTCCAAAAAAAAAAAAAAAAAAAGTCCCATCCCAAATCCCCCAAATCCAATTGGAGCATCCTGCCGCAGCAGGGACCCATCCCTTGCTCCATCCTGGCTTTCCCCCTCCCCACGCACCCTTGGGTCACCCCAAATCTTCCTGGAGGGTTGCAATTCCCCCCCCCCACCCCGGCCACAGCCTGATGTGAAACCAGTAAAGCCCTCTGCAAAGAGCGAAGCGGCAGACCCTTGCGTCATGGCTTGGCTAATAAATGAAGCTTTAAAAGAAAATAAGAACCAAACAAGCCTGCCCTCGCCTTCCTTTTCATGCGCTCCTTATGGGGAAAACAAAAGCAAAAAAAGAAAAAAAAAGAAAAAAGGATTAAATGGGAAAAGCGCAGACTGCTCAGAGCAACATGTCTGAGGAGATATTTTCAACCTTCATCTTCACAGGGGGGGAAAAAAAAAAAAAAAAGGAGAACCAGGCTGTTGGGGGAAATACCCGAGGAGCCTCTGCTCTGCCTGACGGTGAGGGGAGTGGAAACCCAATTTCTGTTTTGCAAGCAAATCACTCGTGCTCGCTCCCGCTTCCCGGTGCTCTGCCTGGGCTGGGGATGGGACAGCTGTGACTGCGGCTTGCCGGGCCAGTCTCACAGCAAATATTAAAATGATGTGTCAAGCTCAATTTGCATTTTTTTGCACCATTTTAAATTATTTCATTACACGTGCACATGAGCTGCGTGCGCAGCACAACAGGGCAACATAAAACCTGAACAGTGTCTAAACCACTTAGAGTCACAGCTGCTCGGTACTTATTGAATTATTGGGGTTTTTTTCTTTCCCTTAGTCAAAACATCATCTGGTGAAATTCCCTGTCTCACAGACATTAATTATGCCAGTTATCTCGCTACTGAACCCAATAAATTACGTTTGGCTGGAGCGCACCTCCTGAAAAAAACACCCATCCTTGATTTGAAGGCATCAGGCGATGGAGGAGCCAGCATTTCCCTGGGAAATTTGTGGCAGAGTTCAGCGCTTAAAAGCTCGTGGCCGTTCGGGTGTCCCCGCAGGCTGCTGCGCTGAGCCGGAGGGATGTGCCCGTCCCCAGCATCCCCTCCCAGAGGAGCGTGCCACCACCCTCAAACCACCTCCGACAGTCCTGGGTCTGGTTCTACCTAATTTATTTCATCCCTGTTAATCTTTATTTATTATTCCCTATTGCATGATTTTTAAATTTCTGCTTATTGCCCCTAAAGTGCTGCTGGCCTTTACCTGCACTTTTTCTGTATTTACCAACATCTTTGGACACAGCTGAGCCCCTCGCCCCATACACATGATGTTCCCACACCCCAGAGACCCCTCAGCCTTTTTGCATCCAGCAAATTCCTGACTTTTTAAGGGAATAACCCCCCTCACCTGGCACAGCAGGCTCCCTGGGTGCATCGCGGAGAGGTTGCAAAGCTCTTTTTGAGCCTCAAGATATTTTGATTAAATGGAAAGAAATCAGGAAAGGAAGGTATGTGTAGCTGGTGATCTGGGAATGCAAGGATTAGGGAGGAACGGAGAAGCAACTATGCTTTTCACAGGATTTTTCAATCAATGGGACACTTAATCTCCTGCAAGGCAAATTCACTTGCACTTAATTTATTCAAGATGGAACTGGATGAAGAAGTGATTAAGGAGGTTCAGGAAAGGGAGAGTTCAGCTGTGGAAAACTTTAAATGGGATCGGGGCTCCTTGGAGGGAGTGTGACAGAGGAATGGACTTTGAAATGTTTTTCTCCACGTTGGCAACGGTGGAAAAAAATACCTAGCGGGAGTCCAAGGAGAGGCAGAAATGGCAGAGGAGTCAAAGAGATGGCGGCACAGGAGGATGCGGGACCCGAAAATGAGTCCTTGGCCCGACAGCAGCTTTCTGCGTGGCCCCTAGCAAATCATTTTGTCAATCTGTGGGGATTTTTTTTTCATCTTTAAATACAAGATAGCTCTGCTGAAGAGCACGGGCAATGCAGGACAGCTCTGCTGACGGTGAGGATCCCGTCGCCTGGCATGGGCAGCGATGGGCAGGCTGCCGCTCCGGCCAGTTCTGCTCACCACGAGCAGAGAAAACTCGTGTGTCGGTGACCGAGGGCCACCGCGAAAACACGCCTGGGACAAACATCTGCAGCGGAGCAACCTCCCACGTGGTCTCATAGAGGGAGTTTGAGTTGGTGGCTATTGCGTTATTAAGCCCAGATCCATCCCTTAGCACTGCCCAAAGCCTGGGGAGGTGCAGCTGGGGTATCAGGAGATGATGCATGGATATTTTTGTCTCTCTATGGAGCAGTCCCATGGGCCAGGCAGCTGGCGAGGGAGCTTGGGGTGTCTGGGAGAGGAGCGCAGGCTGGCTGCGAGAAGAGCCGTTGGGTCAGCAGCATTCCCAGCGGAGGCATTACAGCCTCTCACTCGCTTCCAAGCCTCCCTGTGCTCCCCATATCGCCCTAATTAATAACCAGCCTACTAACGACAGAGCAGTTGCAGTGTTGCATCCCCGCATTTGGTGAGTTTCGGGGGATTTCTCTCCCGAGATGTAGCGCATCCTTGCTTTGAGGTTTGGGTCCCACCGATCCTGCAGGGTCCAGTGCAGGGAGCGGAGGTGACCGGGACCAGACCCAGACCCACTCCCTGTCCCCTCCTGCTCCCCACCGGGAGCGTCTGCAGGCACCGACATGCACAAGCACCCTTGCTTCTTGTATTTTTTAAAGGCTGATCAATGTTTTCTCTGCTTTATAACAAACCCTCTCAT